TGTGTCTAAAAAAAAAAATAGCCAGGCATGGTGGCAGGCACCTATAGTCCCAACTGCTAGGGAGACTGAGGCAAGAGAATCGCTTAAGCCCAAGAGTTGGAGGTTGCCGTGAGCTGTGATGCCATGGCACTCTACCAAGGGTGACATAGTGAAACTATGTCTCAAAAAAAAAAAAAATTTTGTTGAGGCTTGATTTATGACCTAGGATATGATCAATCTTGGAGAATGATACATGAGCTGGTGAGAAGAACATATATTCAGTAGTATTGGGGTAAAATATTCTGTGGATATCTGGTAAGCCTAGTTGTACTAGATTCATGATTAAGTCCATTGTTTCTTTATTTAGTTCTGCTTGGGTGATCTGTACAGTTCTGTCAGTGGGGTGTTGAATTCCTGGCTATGATGGTGTTGTTGGTTTTTATATTGTTCAGATCAAGTAGGGTTTGTTTTATAAATCTGGGAGTATTTATGTTAGTTGAATATATGTTTAGATTGAAATGTCCTCTTGTATTAGTCCCTTGACCAATATATAGTTTCTATCTTTATCTTTCTTTAGTGTTGGTTTTTTGTTGTTGTTGTTGTTGTTGTTGTTGTTGCTTTTTGAGACAGAGTCTCACTCTGTCACCCTGGGTAGAGGGGTAGAGTGCTGTGGCAACATCACAGCAACCTCAAACTCCTGCTTGACCAGTCCTCTTGCCCTAGCCTCCCAAGGAGCTACAGGTGCTTGCCACTATGCCCCGCTAATTTTTCTCTTTTTTCTTTTTCTTTTTTTTTTTGAGACAAAGTTTCAAGCTATCACCCTGGGTAGAGTGCCATGGTGTCACAGCTCATAGCAACCTCAAACTCTTGGGCTTACGCAATTCTCTTGTCTCAGCCTCCCAAGTACCTGGGACTACAGGCACCCACCACAACGCCCAGCTATTTTTTTGTTGCAGTTTTCATTGTTGTTTAGCAGGCCCGGGCCAAGTTTGAACCCAGCAGCTTTAGTATATATGGCCAGTGCCCTACCCACTGACCTATGAGCACCGCCGAACCCAGCTAATTTTTCTATTTTAGTAGAGAAGGAGTCTTCCTCTTGCTTAGGTTAATCTCAAACTCCTGACCTCAGGTGATCCACTTGCCTTGGCCTCCCAGAGTGCTAGGATTACTGGTGTGAGCTGCAGCACCCAACCTTACTTTTGTTGTCTTAAAGTTAATTTTATCTGCAAAGAGGACAGATATGCCCACTTAGTTTGGTTTTCATTAGCCTGAAATATTGTTTTCCAACCCTTCATTCTGAGTCTTGATATGTCCTTAGAAGTTAGATGTGTTTCCTGAAGATAGTTAATACTTAGTTTGTACTTTTTTGTCCAATCAGCTAGTCTGTGTGTCTTGAGTGAAGAATTCAAGCTGTTTACATTTATTAAGAGAATTTATAAGTAGGGTAGAATTCATCTTTTTATTTGGAAGACTGTTATTTTATCACTTAGGCCATTCTGGAAGCTAGGCTTTGTCCTTTAGTTTCCGGGTATCTTGTCTTCTCATTGTTGTTTGTCTATTGTGTTGGTCTGTGTATAATACTTCCTGTAGGTCTGGTCCTATAGTAGCAAATTTCCTCAATGTTTGCTTGTCAGCAAAAGATTTGATTTCTCCATCAAAGATGAAACTTTTTGCCAGACACAGAATCTTAGGCTGGTTAGGTGTTTTCTTTGAGGATATTGAAAATGGGAGCCCACTGTCTTCTGGCTTGTGAAGTTTTACCTGAGACTCTGGTGGATTTTCCCTTGTAGGGGACCTGTTGCTTACACCTGGCTGCTTACAGAATTTCTTCTTTTGTTTGGATTTTGGCCAGATTAATTTCAGTGTGTCTACTGTGAGATGCTCTGTTTGCATTGAGGTGGCCCAGGGTTTGATATCCATCTGGTAGGTGATTGTCTGAATCTATAGCAACATTAGAGAATTTTTCACCTATAATATCTTTGATTTAGGCTTCCATGCTGTTGAGACTCTCTTCTTCTCCTTTAGGGATACCTATGATTTGTACATTGGTATTATATAGTCCCATAGCTCTCTAAGAGTTAGCTCTGCTTTTACTCTCTTCTTTAGTGCCACTTTAAATGAGTGGGCTAGCTCAAGATCCTTATCTTCAAGTTCTGAGATTCTTTCTTCTCCATTGTTTAATCTGAAACTTTTTTTTTTCTTTTTTGAGACAGAGTCTCCGTTGCCGTTGGTAGAGTGCTATCATATCATAGCTCACAACATTCTCAAAACTCTTAGGCTTAAGAGATCCTCTTGCCTCAGCCTCCCGAGTAGCTGGGACAACAGGCACCAGCCACAATGCCTGGCTGTTTTTTTCATTTTGTAGAGATAGAGTCTCACTCTTGTTTAGGATGGTCTTGAACTCCTAAGCCCAAGCAATCTGCCTTCCTTGGACTCCCAGAGCACTAGGATTACAGACTAGCCTAGCCACCTTGATATTGAAACTCCCTGAATGACTCCTTCAAATTTTATAGCTCCTTTATACCATTTCTAATTATGTCTAAGTCCTTGGAGACTTTGTCCTATCTTTTGTTAAATTCTTGGGTCAATTTTTGGATTTCCTTTTCCTAGTTTTCCACTGTTCCTTCAATTCCCTTCATCATTTTTACTATCCATGTTCTATCCATTTCTATAATTTCTTTGTGGTCTGCATCTTCTCAGGTAGCTACATTGTCATCCCATGTGGGAGATGATCTGACTTCATTCTCATGATGCCAGTGATTTTTTGTTGTTGCTTCCTCATGTGTTTTCTTCTTTGACTCTGGGTATGTTCTACAAATAGCACTGCCTGGAACAGCACATTTGGGATATTACTTTTGCTTGGTTTTTACAAAGGAAATTCTTTGATTCTGAAGTGTTTTGCAAGGTTAGCTATTGGATGCACCTTAACTAGCATGTGAATAGTCTTCTCTAATAGAGGTTAGATAGGTTTCATGTCCAAGTTGACAGTCTCTGGTGGCAAGTGGGGCCTGGCCAAGCCTGGCTGCTGCAAGATCTAAGTACTTTAAGTACTGCCAGGGAGAAGGGATTTGCAAACATGGTTAGAGTGAGTCCTTGACTTGCTCTGTATGGTTGTGATCTGAATGCTGCTCATTTTTAGTCAGGAAACGGTGTGTTCTCTGTCCTCTAGTAATCTGTTAAAAACAGATAACATAATTTGAAAATTCTTAGGTATGGAAGTATGTATTTTAGGGAG